TTGACATGAAAGATCTTAGGGAAGCATCTTTTATATTAAGCGTTCAGATTCATCGGGATAGGAGTCGTGGGTTATTGGGACTTTCTCAAAAGGCATATATAAATCGNAAGCATCTTTTGTATTAAGCGTTCAGATTCATCGGGATAGGAGTCGTGGGTTATTGGGACTTTCTCAAAAGGCATATATAAATCGTGTGCTTGAAAAATTTAATATGCATAATTGTAAGTTTGAGGATGTACCTGTTGTAAAAGGTGATAAATTTAGTTTAAGTCAATGCCCCAAGAATGATCTTGAAGAGGAATCTATGAAGAGTATACCTTATGCGAGTGTTGTTGGCAGTTTAATGTATGCACAAGTTTGTACTAGGCCTGACATTGCTTTTGCAGTTAGTGTTCTTGGCAGATATCTTTCCAAACCAGGATTAGATCATTGGGTGGCAGCTAAGAAAGTTATGAGATATTTGCAGAGAACAAAAAATTACATACTNATGCGAGTGTTGTTGGCAGTTTAATGTATGCACAAGTTTGTACTAGGCCTGACATTGCTTTTGCAGTTAGTGTTCTTGGCAGATATCTTTTCAAACCAGGATTAGATCATTGAGTGGCAGCTAAGAAGGTTATGAGATACTTGCAGAGAATAAAAAATTACATATTTGTTTATAGGAGAGTTGATAGTCTTGAGATGATTGGTTACTCAGATTCAGATTTTGCTGGGTGTCAGGATGATGTAAAATCTACTTCAGGATATATTTGCATGTTAGCTAAGGAGCAATATTATGGAAGAGTGTTAAACAAACTCTCCCAACTTTTTTCACTATGCAAGCTGAATTTGCAGCTTGTTTTGGAGCTGCAACACAATCTATATGACTAAAGAATTTTATTTCAGAACTTATGATTGTTGATTCCATCTCTAGACCACTAACAATTTATTGTGATAATAGTGCAGCTGTGTTTTTCTCAAAGAACAACAAACATTCTTGTGGGTCTAAACATAACGAAATTAAATATCTTTCTGTTAAGGATCTTGTGAATAAATGTGACATTGTGATTAAACATATTGATACAGAATCAATGCTTGTTGATCCTTTAACCAAGGGACTGAGACCTGTAACTTTTAAGAAACATGTTGACAATATGAGTATTTTGGGGTCTTTTAATGTACTTGGTTAGTGGGAGTTTTTTATTTTAGTGTTGATTTAATTCCATATGTGATATTTGATACTCATTATGGTTGAGATATATTTATTTGATGAATAATAAATATTTGATGATTATTCTTATTGTTAGCATGATATTCTTGCTATGTTATATGTGTATACATTTATGACATGTCATTTTATATAAAATCTTAAGATTTGGTGTATGTCTTAAATATGACTGTTTTGTCAATTGAGTATGTCTCTAATTACACAATTTGATAAAGTCTTGTGATTTTAAGTTTTGAGACATACTAGCTTATTGTTGAAACTAATTGATTTCTCTAGCTTATTGATGAAGCTAATGGATTTCTCTAGCTTATTGTTGAAGCATGTTGTTAAAAGGAAATCATTTGGAGGACTGATAATGAAAAATAACATGTTTATCAGATCACATATTGAGATTATTTTCTTGCTACACTACCACATCTTGATCCATGTCAATAGATTTATTATTTTTGTAATTATGGATTGGTCCTATGTCAATAAAGGATATAAAGGCCGTCATGATTCAAAAATAGTAGTTTTATTGGACCGGATTTGTGTTTAAGATGTTGTCTCGTGACCATATTATTTTTTATTGTGGCCACATAGAGTTTTGTTTTGATTAGCCCGAAGTCGTTTTCAAAAATATATATATAATTTTATTTTATTTCTAAATGACTACAATTAATGTTGTCCAACTGGGGGAGAATGTTGAAAATTTTCCTATATTAGACTGTCATTAATTGATAGTTAATTTTAGTTTGTGAAAAATGGGCTGAATTTATGGTCCAATGAGATGAGCCCAATATTATTAAGTGATCTATTTTGATGGGCTTATGTACATCTTCTAATTGATGTGGTTGAGGCTGTTAAGTGTAGGCCTTAATCTAATTGTGGCCCATAATGGGAGAGCCCGTTAGATTTCATTATAAATAGCAAGCTAGGTCCCCTCTCCACTTCATAACCCTAAATTGGCTTGTCCCATTGAGAGCCACTTATTGCTTTGAAGAAGGAGAGGATGACATTGCCCTTCCATCATGGCTCATACAGGTATGTTCTAAACTTTGTAATTTAGGTGTTCTAAATTTCATAAACGAATTATTAAAATTTCTTACAGAAACAACCTTCACCCTTCCCTCAAGAGCCTCTCTCCCCACAAAGTTTTGGCTTCATGCTTTTTCTATAAAAACTTTTCTCATTAATCGATTGCCAAGCCCAACCACATCTAACACTTCCCCTTACCATATTCTTTTTGCTATAGTACCTGATTACACTCAGATGAAAATCTTTGGATGTGTTTGTTATCCATATTTGAGACCATATAATACCAATAAACTATAGCCTTGAACCAAGCAGTGTGTGTTTATAGGCTATTGTTTGAAAATATTTTAACAAACTATCCGCCTCTCCATACCTCAAGTCTCATTGCCTCCTTTCACGGAGGTAATTATTTTAGTCTTGACAAGTAAAACTTAGATTTTTCTTTCCTCCAGACTGAGTACTCAAAAGTTCATAGGAAACCTTAAGTGATATTCCACAATCCGCTGCTATATTAAAATTAATGTCTTGTATTTCAGTAACATTCTGTTGAGATGACATCATATGCATACATTCAACAAGGTGCAAAAGATGATTAGAGTTGTTTTCCCATTTCACCACAACAAATTTGTCATTTTCTTTGTTAAGAGATATGCACATATGAGCTTGGTAATTTGTTCGTGTCTCTGCTCAAGGTTTCCTTATTTGTCACACTCTTTTATCACGAGCTCTTTAACCTTTTTACAACAAACATATTTTCTGTAAATGACAATACTATCTTTCAAACTTTTATTCTGAAAATATTTTCTCACGCTAAATCCCACAGGTCCTCCATAATTATTATAAAACACATAATTATCTTCTTCAGTATCAAATTGCATATCAATATGAGTTTTATCCTCGGTTACATTAACTCTTAAATCATCCATCATAATATCCTATAATAAAAAATTTCATTGAAATGAAATTATGTTGTGAATAAAACACATATTATATGTATGACATTCCAAAAAAAATAAAAAACAAACTAGAACAACATTGACCACAAAAATATAAAATATTAATTATTTCAAGTTCAAAAAAATATTAATGAAAAATGTTTCAAGTTTTACAAAAATTGTTTCAAGTTCCAGAAAATAGAAAATATTAATTGTTTCAAGTTCCACAAAAATTGAAAATACTAATTGTTTCAAGTTCCACACACAATATATGTCTTGAACTAAACTTAAAAATTGAAAAATGAAGTAATGAAAAATGAAAACATACACATAAGCATGAAATAAAACAACAAAAACGAATGAAAGAACTAAATGAAAAATGAATGATATGAATGAAATTTGGTTTTGATACCATACTGTCAATTGACGAAGAAGAAGTGAGAGAAAAAGGGATCTCTGATTTTGAGATGAAGAAGGATGAAGCTAAACTGTTTGATGAAGAAGGCGAGAGAGGCAAGACTATTTGACGAAGAAAAAGGAAAAACGAAGACTCTTTGATGAAGAAGAAGCGAGAGAGATGGGTTTGTCTGATTTTGATATACTATGGACAGAAACAACGTCATTTTTGGTGAGTTTTAAAAAATAAAATTCAAAAAAAGCTCAAAACGATGTTTGTCAATTAAACTGCATGATATGCGGTTAATGCTTTCCTGTATAGGAGTCACACCCCCATTAAATAGACCCTACTGCCTAGGCACCTATTTGCATTTTTCCTTGTTTTTAAAAGCATTTTCTGCATGTATATTTTAATTTTGTTTTCAAAACATGGTAGATACAAAAAATTAAATATATACATACAAAAACGTTTATATATATATATATTTGCCAAAAATATAAAAACAAAAACATGAAAGCAATAAAAAATAAGATTAATTGTAAATTGTACACTGAAAGATCGTTTAAATATCAATTTGTCCCTCGAATATCAAAAATCTCAATTTGTACCCTCAAAGATAAAAATTTATATCAATATGCACCTTCAAAAATTAAAAATCTCAATTTTCACCCTCAAATATAGAAATTTGTATTATTGTGCACCTAAAACTAAATTGATAAATTATACCTATATTTTCTTATGCTTGTCACTTACTTATTTGGACCCCTTCACATTTAGAATATTACTCTTACATCTCATGACATTTGTGCACGTGTAATACGTAACCTCTTTTCGTTGATATCTGTTAATATAACCGTTAAAAAATATGATTTTATCTTAATAAAAAATTATAATTTCATATTACCCTTTATTTTATGGGTCCAATATACTTTAAAGTTCAAAATCAAGCTTACCATTTGAATGTCAAACTTATCATTATAATTTTTTATTAGGATAAAATCATATTTTTTAACGGTTATATTAACAAATATCAATGAAAAAGGGTTACATGTTACACGTGCACAAACGACATGAGATGTAGGAATAAAATTCTAAATGTGAAGGGATCTAAATGATTAAGTGACAAGCATGAGGGAATCTAGGTATAATTTATCAATTCAGTTTTAGGTGCACATTGATACAAATTTCTATATTTTAGGGTATAAATTGAAATTTTTTATCTTTGGGGTACACATTGATATAAATTTCTATTTTTGAGGGTATAAATTAAAATTTTTTATCTTTGAGGGTCTAAATTAAGATTCAAACTATCTTTCGAGGTACAACTTATAATTAATCCTAAAAAAATAAATAGTTGTTTGCAACCCTAAAAGATTTTTTTTTAGTTTGTAGTGTTCGAAATTTGCTGAATTAAAGCACTCAAAGAAGTTTTGGATGATACCGAGAAATGTCGGTAGAGAGATCATTTGAAGTATGGGAAGAAGTGCACCGACACGGCCTAGACTTGGCGGACCGACTGGCACAAGGTTTTACAGGCTTGATTCAGTCCCACATTAATCCTCCATCATTTTCATGGCCCAATCTTCAAAACGCAAAGCTTTTTGACGTTGAATTTCCTTCTCCGAGTTTCGTGAAAAGGGATTTTGGACTTGCAGTCGATAACTCTGGACTTAATGAGGTTTCGGCCATTTTCGACATTGGGACTAGGATAGGGCAAGCTGGGGTAGACTTCGGGGCTTGTGTGAATGGAGTGGTTCAGCACTTCTTCAGGAGGTTTCCTGTACCATTTCGGCAAGATGAGAATGTGGGAGTGTCATTGCGGGCGGAGCTGAATAGCCACACGAATGAAGCGGGGGTCACTATGCAGGAGGATTTGGGATCATTGGCGGAGAGGTTTAGGGATTTTGGATATGTGGAAAATGACGCGGTTTCAGATGGGTTGTCAGAGGAGGAGATTTCTGAGTTTAATCTGAAGACTGCTGGATTTTTTGGTGGTTCACAGGTAAAAGGCGTGTTTTTCGCTCTTTGATTTTGCGTTTGTTTAAAAAAAGGGATTGTGCATAAATAATATGCTGCTGTTCATCCAAGCTGCTAATAAGGCACTGTATTTCTATGTTGTAGTGACAATAATATTTTGTACACTATCCATTTGTCTTCCATGCCATGGAGTTGTGTAGTGATGAACCACAATCGGGTGAAAATGCTGGCACAGATTGGTTGGTTGTTATGTGCTCTAATGATGTATTTAATAAAAAAAAACCATTTTTTTTTAATTAAAGCATCACTGTCAGAACAGAAGAAAATTTCCAAGTTTTAATTACCTCACCATAGTTATAGTTTGGGGTGCAACTCTGGTTTGAATCGTTGATTGGGTCGGTTGTTATACACGAAACATTAGTCATGAAATTCTGGGTATTAATGCATCACCCCCTGAAGCTCAGGCCATTGCATCCAATAGGCAATTGCCATGAAGTTCAGAGTATTAAGGCATACCAACCTGAAGCTCAGGCCAGTGCATCCAACCCAAAGCCATATTTCTCAACTCAGCTACTTCTTGCTCCAAGACTGTAGCTTCATCTTTGTTTTTTGCATGTTAATGGGTGATTGTACAAGACTCTGTCCCTCTGGTATTGTTATCGATCAATAGAAATATTTCATACTGGCAGTATAGATGATAAAATTTGGACTTAACATATGGTTGATATGCATGTATTATACAAGAAAATTGCTTTGCAACTGGAGAAATCTGGTTTGCAATCCTGTCTAAAATCTGGATGGGTGGTTCTTATGTTGCCCAATGGCTTCCAAGCACAACTTTTGTCTAAGATGAACTCACTTTTATCATATTTCGACTTTTTTAAATTTGGTTTCATTTTATTTAGCATGTTACTAGTATTGTATAGCCATAGCAGGACTAGTTTAGGTTTTGGTACCTTTTTTAACTTTGAGGTAGTTGAAACTTTTTAGATGCTTCATGTGAAGTGCTTGGAAGTCCGTACTTGTGATTTAAAATGTTAAAATAAATGTTGGTGATTAGGGGTGTCAAAAGTGTCGAGTTGGGCCATTTCGTGTTAAGTTGATTTCGAGTTTGTGTTGAAAATCTCAAAACACAAGCCTGATATGTTTAATACTTGTGTCGAGATGTGTAAACACTAACCTGACCTGACCATACCATTAAACGGATAACCTGAACCTAACCTATTTAATATGTTTAATAAACATGTCATTTCGGGTTAACAATCATTACATGATTTGTTTAACTTGTTTAGCACACATAACAATGACCTGTTTAACACATATAGCCTGTTTCCACATCAGTTCAGTACCATTAAATACATCATTCAATCATTTATCTAAAATTTCAAATAATTTTTTTTCAAATAATATATTACATCTCATCAATAAAATTAATTAAAATGCATTTAATTTTCAGTCCAAAAATTAAAACAAGAACTATACTAGTTTCTGTCATAATAATGTTAAAAATTATTGTGTCAATTATCATAGTAGAAGCAAGAACTAATAAGTAATAATGTTAAAAACACATTAGTCATACATAATAAGTCAACTATACTGTCATAAACAGGTTAAATGGGTCTACAATGGGTTAGGTCGAGTTTGTGATTTTTTTCGTGTTTAAGCGTGTTGACCCGTTTTAATCCATTAACTCGTTTAATTTCGTGTCTGACCCATTAATTTCGTATTCGGTTCGTGTTGTGTTAACGTGTCATGTCGAAAATTGACAACTCTATCAATGATGACATGCCAAATGGCAATTATTTCCTCTATCTACTAATGATTTGATAACCTCGTATCAATGATTCAATGGTACTGTTTGATTCCTTTGTTTATGTTTGACCTCTCCGTTTGACAGGACTTTTGTTGTTTGTATGTAGCTTAGCAAGCCATAGCATGTTTTACTCCTTATTTTTGAATCCCTTTATTTATTGCTACAGGTGTACATCTTTTCCACTATTGACTAATGCCTGCCCAATATTTTTTTCATGATAAACCTATGTTGATTCGTTTAGGTATAACATGGGTAATAAGTGGTGCAAAGGTAGCAGGCTTTGTTCTGTCTTTCTCTATTTCTCTCTTTGTTGCTGCCCACCATAAATGCTTCTTCATTTGTAAACCTTGTTAATATATGATAGTGTTGCTTTATACGAAGTAACATATGTGGTTTTGTATGTTGGAGTGTGCTTTCATGGAATGATCATGTTTTCCAGTCTTATCATGTGATTTCAATGACACAATCAGATGCAAAGCCTTCTTTTTTGTATCCTAGGTACAAGAGCTTCATCAGTGCCAGCTCCATTGTTGTCACTTGTTATCATCATCATCATCACCTGTGTCTCCCTCCTTCCGTTCCACAGGAGGGCTATAAAGGTTGGCCTGTGGGGTTAGATATGTGGAAGGATCCTTGGATGAAATAATTTGGATATTCAAATAATGGCCAAAACAGCTTGGCTGTTGTAGCTTGACGTTTATTGAATGCCGGGGACCGTTAATGTAACATCAGCATATGACAGCATGACACGTGGCGTTGAAAGTTCTTTGGTTGCAGGGGGTGATTTGTGGAGAATTGAAGCATCACATGGCAGTTCTACATCGGGAAATGAGAATTCATCACTCTTCCTTCTCCAGCTTGGACCATTACTGTTTGTTCGTGATTCCACTCTTCTTTTGCCAGTTCATCTATCAAAGCAACACTTGCTTTGGTATGGTTATGATAAGAAGGTAAACTCATATTACTATCTAGTATGTACTTTATGTAAAATTTTATACTTCATATTTGGAAATAACAACAGTTGGTTAAGAATCTCAAGATTATGGACTTTACTTTTTGGGTTTTCTGCTGAACATTGTTTTTTGTTTTGATAGTGAATTGCTATCTGAGCATATATTTATGAGCAGGCTTTTGTTCTCAACATAACAATTATAGTATACTTAGTAGTAGTATATGGCAACCTCTATAGTGGGTTTGGGCAATGCTTTTGCCTCTCAACCTCAGATCACAGAGAAAATGCAAACTCCTCAAGAATAGGAAAGGGAGAAAGATAAAAAAGAGATGTAATATGGGCCCTTCCTCTGGGTGTCTACTTTAGTGTTTTCATATTGCCATCTTTCTTTCCATGGTATGCACTAACATTTTGTTTTCGTTAATTGCCAGAATGGAATGCATTCTCTGTGTCCAGCTGTGTGGTCAAAGCATAGGAGGTGGCTGTTGATGTCAATGATCTGCCTCAATCCTTTGGCCTGTGTAAGTTTGAACAGTTACCAAGCAAAATGAGTTTGTGATTTGCTTTTATTAAAAAAGTTTGATTTGCTGACAGAGTGTCACGTTGTTCTGTTTGTGTTTTATCACTTTGTTCACATATACTACTCGCTTTTGCTTTATATATACTAGTGTAAGATCAATCCTTCTTAGTCAAAACACGTGCCATAGCATTGAAATTTTACAAATTTTTGGCAATATTGTAGTATGCATCACTCAAACCTAATCTTGTAATTTGCCAAATTGCACCTCTGATGCAATGAAGATGTAGATATACTCAACTTTTTTTTTTGTTTGT